TATTGGGTGGGATGCCATGGATCCATTCTTGTTCTCAGTTGTCTTCCTGGGGAGGAGCAGGGGAAAGTCACTCACTCCCAGGCCAAGGGAGGAATTAACCCTTTTTTAGCACTTCACAAATTTGACATCCAGAAAGAGGCACGGGTTGGGCTCAGATGGCATTCAAGATGCAGCCAGACAGCCCTCTCAGAGGAATGGTTTAACGGATTGTCTTAGATTGAGCAGGGGGTTGGACCTGATGGCCCTCTGGCTCCTTCCAACTCTACTATTCTGTGATTCTATGACATAACAACTCACAGCTAAGCTTTCAATACGGATTTAATGTGGATTGCTGCCAAAATCTGGGTTATCGTCTTGTTCAAACCCAGTCGAGATAACAAGCCATGGTGAAGAACCCACAGTTCCCTACCCAACAACAAAACATGGGACCTCTTCATAGGTTGTTCATGCTTCACAAGCCATAGCCTTTTAGGGTAGCTGGGTTCAGTCAATAGGATAACCCGCAGTTCAAAATCAACCCACATTCAACCCATGATGATGAGTGTGGCTTATCGGAAGCCTGGTCACAAAGCCCTTCTGACTTGGGCAGGAACAGAGTCTGTCTAAGCTTGTGGAGAGTCCATTCTGCTAGAACTTCTCTGCACAAACATGCTCAAAGCACAGTTTTGTTGCTTTACATCATGGGATCATTTCACAAAAAGATTGCCCAGGAAAAGTTGGTTTGGGAGTGGGGAGGAAAGGACTGGATATAACATTTTATGCATCAACCTTCCCCCACCTGGTGCCTTCCAAAAGTGTGAGACTCCTATTTTTGCTAACCATGATGAACTTGCTGTCTGGAGAAGAGAAGGGCTACCACTGAAGGAACTGAATTTGGGGAGGCCAACTTAAAATAAATACATAAATCCTACTTCCTCTGCACTTTGCCTCAAAATCAGCCTTGATTCCTTCCTCTTGCCTCCAAGGAAAATCCTTCTCAACTTCAGTGGTTTGTCTTCAAAAGCCAACACTCATGGCTCACTCTTTCCTTAAGCTGCAGAAGCGTTTCCCCGAAGGCTCACAGACTAAGTACGCCTCACTAAATGAAACAGAAGAACTGTGGTGGAGAGGACCGAATCGTCTCTGGTCCAGAGGTCTCTTCACACAGTGGCACAATAGCACCCTCCTACCCATGATCCCCATCAACTGGTGTGCCTAGGTATATTGCCTCTTTTCCAGGAAGCAGCATAGGGCCATCAGGGCTAGTAGCCCTTGAGAGCAACCTCACCTCCTGCAAACTTGTCTAATGCCCTCATAAAAACATCTAGGTTCATGACCATCATTGTATCTTGAGGTGGTTAATTTCATTGTTTCTTCTTGCATCAGAAGAAACTGCCTTTGGCTTGTATCCATTATTAGTTCTACTTAGAGTAGACCTATTTAAATGAATGAGATTTGTGAAAGATGACCATTGGGAGGCAAGCTGCAGTGCATATCTATGGGTTTCCATTTAGTTGCATGGTGAAGTGCCTTCTACAAATCTATCAAATGTCTAAGGGTGCAATCCTAGATGCTTAGACAGAAAACATGCCGATGACACCCAGCATTCCTCAACCAGCTATGCTGGCCAGAGAATGCTGGAAGGAATTCTTTCCATCTAAACATGCATTGGATTATGCTGCCGCTTTCCCCTTTGCACCTTCTTTCCATTCATTAAAAATACCTTTGCCTGTTCTGACTTCTGTCCATTCCAAAAGCCATAAATTGTAAAACCTGACAGCAGGTTTCTTAGTACATCTAAAAGGCTTTGGAAAATATGGAAAATATTAACCAAGAGCCAAAGGAACTATCCAACTGGCACCAGGAATCCGGACCCTGGAGGGCCTCTCTGGAGAAAACAGTTCCATAACTGAGACACCACCGTGGAGAAGAACATCCCCCTGGTTGCCACCAACTTCACCTCAGGTGTTGGCAGACTGAGGTGGGTGGCATGTAAGGAAGGATGCTGCTGGTGAAGCAGATCTTCTGTTACAGCAATTCTACCCAAGATGACTGGAGGTGGTCACATTCTCTGGCCCCGGCTCAAGAAGAACTGAACCACAGGTTGGACGTTGTGGTAGACCGACAGATCACACACCGTGGAAAGAATGGAGCATGCAAACCTAAAGACCCAGATGTATACCATGACATCTGAACTGGGCCGAAGGAAATGTACTACAAGCTATGCTCTTGGAGAACCACTGGGGTTCCTCAGGGGAATATCTCAGTGTACCTTGAAGAATATATCAAAAACAGGGTCCCAGGCACAGGGGAAGGCAAGTTTCTATGGGCCTGGCCTCATCAGGGTATGCCAGGTCATTTTGCTAAGTGTTCCCCATCATTTAAGAAGTCAGCAGGAAACACATGACTCTCTGGAAGAAACAAGGGGAATAAAATGTGCCCTTCCGCCCCTTGAGATCGGCGGCAGAGGCCCTTCTCCGGGAACCCTCCATGAAGGACATTAGGAGGATGAGTTCCCGGAGGAGGGCTTTCTCTGCGGTGGCGCCCCACTTATGGAATGCGCTTCCCAGGGAGGTCCACCTGGTGCCGTCGTTATTTGTTTTTCGGCGTCAGGCCAAGACCTTTTTATTTAAATGTCATTTTAATTGTTAATATTATTTATTGATTTTACATCTGGCCAGGACGTCTCCAATTATATTGTTTTTATATTGTTATTATGTTATTTATTGTTGTGAGCCGCCCCGAGGCGACGGCGAATGGGGCGGCATGGAAGCTTTCTAAATAAATAAATAAAAATGTGCTGAATCCAATTGCCAAGGGAGGTGTTACTGCTACGGAGGGTCTTCCACGTGTATAAAGTGCTCCCAAACGGAAATGGGAGCAGGCAGGAAAAGGATGCAGAAGTGCAGAAGGTACCCCTGAAACACCCAGATGAGAGAGAAAACTCATGAATAAATAAAATGGGGAGTCGTGAATAAATAGGGTTCGGTGTGCATTCAGAGTGATCTAGATGTCAGAGGCAAATCTCTCCCAACTGGATTGTGAGCAGATCACAGAATTTCCTCCTTTAGTGCAAGAGAAGGAGTCATTTTCTTCTGCCAACAGCCATAAATCTTCAAGAGTGATCTGCCAGGAGCAATACACTAGCGGAAACCGGTAGTGGTCGAGCTACCCCTTTTCCTGTCTCTCCCCTCATTTCCTCTCTTTCTGACACCCCCTTCTTTCTCTTTCCCCACCTTCATTGCACCAAAGCATCCGCAGGAGCGACTAATGGCTCCGAGCTGATGGTTTGCAGAGGGCTTCTCGAAGGCTACATGGCCCATGTTTCTGCATGCGTCAGCCTCAAACATGCAACCCTCTAGCAACCCAAAGCCAGCACAGCCATCCCACCTGGGAATTATGGGGCTGCTGTCCAGCACACACAGAAGGCGCAAGGAGGCACCAGCCTGGGCCCGACGATGGCCGAATTTTTAGTGCCTGTGCAGGGCCTCTCCACCAAGTCCAACCCTGCATGACAATCTTCACCAGCTCCAACCCTTTTCCTGTGCAAAAATCAAAGCACACAGCAGCCACCTTCTCTGATTTTGCAGCAGCGCTCTGCCCAAAAGGATGGCGAGAGCGGCCTTTTCGCTCTCCTCTGAAAATGCAAGATTTCAAGCACTAGGATCCCTTCCAAAAAATTTCCAACCTCTTCTCTACACTTTTTTCTGAGGGAAGGCAGGAAAAGGATCAAGGGGTGTGTATCTCCCTGCGGTGTTTCTTGTCCATGTGTCCATTCCAGCAAGCTACACATACACTTCCCAAATCTCACACCTAGAAAAATGTACAAGTTGTTCAACTGCACAGGTGTCTTCATTGGCCCCACTCTCTCCACTGCAGGTGGGCCAGGTGAACAATTCAGAAAGCCTGTGGTAATTTCAGTTCCATCTTTATTTAAAAGGGGGTTTTGAGCAGGGGGAAGACTAAATACCGCTTGGATGCAACAAGGTATGTCTCTTTTAGTTTGCTTTCATTTCAAACTGCTGGTCCCAAAGAAATAAATACTGGTTAAGAAAATATCTTCTAATAGTCTGGGTATCACCTCACCTTGGGTAGTTAAAAATCTTGAACACTGGATGTTATGGACGAAGGTTAGACCAAACTTCTCCCGTTGGAACTGGAAATAGTCCAGGACCAACAGAATTACTCTTAACAACACAGACATAACCTGAAGCAGGCTCCTTCAAGCAGATGCTCGCCAGAGGTTTTAGATTTCAACTCCCATCATGCCCAGCCTTCATGGCCCATGATCAAGAAAGCTAGGATTTGTAGTCCAAAGCATCTGGAGAGTTGCAGGTTGGGGAAGGCTGATCTGTGGAATGTACCGCCAAAAGATGTGCAGTACTCTAGATTTAGTTTTTTAAAGTCTCCCTGCATGACATGAGATTTAGTGTAATTTTTAAAAAAATCATCATTTATTGAAAGCTAATCTCTTGCTCATCAACTAAAAAATCTCCTAGAGTGACTTACAATCATCCAGGAAAACAAGAAACTCCCTGCCAGCAGCCATATACTGAAAAAAGACAAGGCACACAAGGAAAAGGAGAGGAGGAGGGAAAAGGAAAAAAGCATTTGCTTAGGTGGCTTTGGGAGGAAAAAGCAGACACATTCCAAGGGACAGGTCTATTAGCAATGCAAGATGCCTCCAAAAAACCGCAAGTGGGAGGCAAACAGTGCCAGCCAGCGCTTTTGTACCATGCCTGGGAAATTCTCCAGGACAACCAGCTGGCTCTGCTTGGCTGAATTCAGTGGACCTTTGGTGCTGGTCCAGCCAGGTAATACATTTATCCATTTTTAATGTCCCTATAATTAGCAAGCCAATGACCAAGGTGTTGTTTCCCTAGCAGAACCCAGAGAAAATCCATGGGTAAGTCCCCAAAGCATTCAATGCCCACGGCTGGCACTTGCGCACAGGCACGGGCAGGTGCTCCTTGCACGGCTGTGTGTTGCACCATGTGCCAGGAGAGGCTTCGCCCACTTACCCAGCCTTCGAAGCTGTCCGATGACCCCGGGCCATGGAGGAGGTCGTGGAAGCGCACGGTGCAGTTGGCCACGAAGTCGTCGTAGCCGATGGGGGTGCCGTGGAAGACGGCCAGCTCCAGCTGACACCCGTCGGTGACGGCCGTGGAGAACTCCTCGTTGTACGTGGGCTTGTTGGTCTTCTGCTTGGTGCTGGTCTGGCCCACGCGCACCTGGTCCACGCTCACGGCGATGTAGGGGTCCAGCAGCTGGTGCCCCTTCTTGAAGAGCGAGTGCCTGAGCGACCAGCGGGTGGGCTGCAGCCCCACCGCCTCGCCGATGCGCACCTTCATGTACCCGTTGAACTTCATGGTGCCGGACATAGCGGCCTCTCCGGGCGCGCTTCTTCCCCTAGAAACCAGAGCTGCGGCGTGGTCGGGGCGCGCGGCGGCTGGGGGCGCGGCGGGCGTCAGGGGCCTGGGCGCCCTGCAGCCCCAGGGCCCCGGGCCATGCCGCCGAGCGTGCCAGTCCGGATCCGATCGCCTTTCCGCCGTCCCTTTGCCCGCCAAGCCAGCGCAGAGCCGCTGCTCCCCCTTCCCCGGAGCGCCACGCGGTCACCGAAACGCGGCGAGGCAGCGGGAGCGCGCGGACCACGCCGGCCCTCCGGAGCACCGCGTCGCCAGCCGGGCGGCACCCGAAGGCGTCCGGCAGCGCATGAGCGACCGAAACCCCGCGCGAGTCTCGGCCCCCGCGGCTTCCTCGCTCTCTCCTCGCTGCGCTCCGGGGGCAGGAAGAACGCGCGGCCGGGACGGCGCGGCTTCGCGCCCGCGGAGTTCCGCGAGGACCCAGCGCAAGCCGAGGCTCCCTCTGTGCTGGCCGGCCGGCCGGCCCCCGCCCGGCTGCGTCCTCCCCTCTCCTCTCGGCCGGCTCCCTCGCTCGCTCGCTCGCTCGCTCTCGCTGGCGGCTGCGCTGCGCGCGGCAAGAGCTCCCAGCGCGGGGAGCGGAGGGCGTGCAGGAGCGAGCGGGGGAGGCGGGAGGGAGCGCGGCCAGCGCCTGTGCGCGAGCACAGCACCTGAGGGACGGGACGGGACGGCCCAGGAGGAGCGCAGGCCAAGAGAGGCGGAGCCGCGGCTGCCGTGCCGGGACTTGCCCCGCGCGCCGGAGCGAGCGACTGCTGCCGGCGGCTGGAACACGCGTCGGCGGGGTCGCTCGTTCATGGGGACGCCGCCGCGGACACCCGACGGCCGGGCGGGCTCGGCCAGAGCGCACCGTCCGCGCGCCCTCGCCGGCTCCCGGGGCTCCTCGCCCACCCCTCCTGCGTCCCCCTCGAGCCGCCGGAGAGGCCGTCGCCGGTATCCGGACGGGCGAGGCCCTCCCCGGGCAGCCGCAGCTGGAAATCCAGTTCCCATCCGGCCCGGGACAGATCCCTTCCTTGGCACAGCCCTGGAGCCCGGCGGAAAGGGCGGGCGTCGCGCCTCCCTGGAGAGGCTCTGCTGCGCGGCGCACGTGGAGTGGCCCCCCGCCTCGCTAGTGCGAAGGGGCGCCATCAGCCGCCGGGCGGCGGGGGGGGGGGCGGCCCGCGAGGGCTGCAGCCCCGGATCGCTGAGCGCCCCCGCCCGCCACTCCGCCGGCTGGAGCCACGTGCGGAAACGCAGGGCCAGAATTTCCGCCGCCTCGGATCCCCTGGGCGTCCGGGCCCACGAGCTCCTGCTCTCCCCTGGGATGGGGTGCCCTTAGGAGGCAGGGTCTTTAAAGATACACACTCGGCGCACAGGCCTCAGAGCATGTGCAAATTGCCAGATGCAAACTTGCTTTTGATAGTTTTGCCCTGTGGCCCCAAGACCAGGGGCGATTTAGTGTCTAACTCTGCCCCTGAACGTCCACAAGGGGGTTGCAATGCGCAGACGCAGTGGAGGGACCGAAAATTCAGTGCACATGGGCCTGGGATAAATATCGTAGTCTCCTGGTGTGCGGTAATATTTTACAGATAGGAGTGTCCTTAGAAGACAGAGCCTTTCGATACACCTGAGAACACTGAGACTTCATTTATTTATTTAAAACATTCCTGTCCCATCCTTTGCACAGCCTCAGGATGACTTTAGAGCAGAGGTAAATTATTATGCAAGTTTGTTTTTGTTCCTTTGGTTTGGGTTTGGACCTGCAGGCCTGAGCTGCAGAAGCTGGAGTACTTGGCAGTCTGCGGCCTCCTCCTCTCATGCCCTTCGAAAATACTTTCATTGGGCTTGGACTGAGTAGGAAATCTTTGTGGGGCCCTTTTTGGGACAGAGTGCAAGAATGGGTATGGGAGAATCACCCTTTTCTGCCGTCCCTTTCCCAGACTGCACTCCCTGGGTGTGTGTCAGATTACAACTCCCATCAGGCCCACCACCTCTGGTATTGTTGGAGTTGTCTGACATGAATCCTGTGGGCTTGGTGCAAGGGTTACTTGCAGAAAGTGTGAATTGGCATGGAGAGGGTGTCATTTGGCTGGAATTGCACATCTCTGCATTCCGGGTCTTCAGAGAAATGATCCTGGAACACAGAAGCGGCTGGGAAGGACCAGCTGAGACAACCACCCGGTGGTACGGATGCCAGCACAGAGCCCAACGGTCAACAGGGCCCAATGATACAACAGCTACTTCATATAATTCCAAGAAAAGCAAATGGAAGGACAGTCTTGTGTCTGCAGCGCACTTCAGTTCAGGGCATCCTCATGACTCCAGGAATAAAATGGAGCTTGCACCGGCTGCCCAGGTGTTAGGCATATTTATTTGGGAAGAAGCACAGTGTTACTGTTGTTGTCATCTCTGACTTAGGGTGACCCTATGAAAGGAAGCCATCCAAAATGTCCTGCCCTCTGCTCATCTCTTGGAAACTCCAGGCTGAGGCTTCCTCAATGGAGTTCACCCATTTCCTGTCATTTCTTCCTCTTCCCCCTTTGACTTTCCCTAGCATGATTGTCTTCTCCAGTGAGTCTTGCCTTAAAGTCCAACAGCCTCCGTTTCATCATTTTTGCTTCCAGGGCAAGTTCTGGCTTGATTTGATCTAAGGCCCACTTGTGTCTTTCCGTCCGTCCAGGGGATTCGCAAACTGCGTTGTCAGAGAAATGAAAACTTGTGGTGAAATAGAGAAGGTTCCTTGCTGCTGCTTCTCTGTAAAACATGACATTTGTAACAATGCCCATGCCCTTCGGGTGGCTTTAGCATTTCTTCCCCTTGGAAGGATATTGCAGCACGTTGAGTCAGGGCTGGGGAGAAGGTCATTGGCCCCCATCATCTGCCACTCTCTGGAAGGTCATTTGGGCAGGCTGGGCTGTAGGAGCCTCACCCCACGGCCCCCACATCTAACTATAGCAGCCCCACGGTATTGATGGGTGCCCATCTCATCCCCCACCTCCTCGATTTTCCCTTCTCCAGGTACTCCCTACTGGCAATCTGTCCATGGTGAGCTTCCATGGAAGGGCTAACTGTTCTGTCCCAACCGGCTATCAACCATCTGTTGTTGTTATGGGCCATCAAGTCAACCCCAACTTAGGGAGACCCTGTGAATGAAAGCCTTCTAAAATGCCCTATCGTGACTGCACTGCTCAGCTCTCGCAAATTCAAGGCGGTGGCTTCCCTGATGGAGTCCGTCCATCTCAGAGTTGGTTCTCTTCCCTTCTTCTGGCTTTCCCTAGCATGATGATCTTCTCCCGTGAGTCTTGCCTTCTCATGATGTGTTCAAAATATGACAGTCCCATGTTCATCATTTTGCTTCTAGGGAATGTTCTGGCTTGATTAGATCTAGGACCCACTAGCTGGTCTTTCAGTCAGTCCAGCGTATTCCCAGAGCTCCTGTCCAGCACCATTTGAATGCATCCGTTTACTCCCTGTGAGCTCTCCTCGCCACACAGCTTTTACACCATAACATAGTGATCGGCGATACAATTGTGTGGATGATCTTGGCCTTGATCTCTAGTAAAATCTCCTTACACTTGATGATCTTTTCCCGTTCCCTCATTACTACCCTTCCAGGTCTCAGTCTTCTTTGAATTTCTGGGCTGCAGTCACCATTTGAATTGATGGCTGAGCCAAGGTATAGAAAATCTTTCATGATTTCAGTTTCTTCATTATTAACAGTAAAGTTCTGTTATTCTTCCGTGGTCACAGTTTCTGTTTTCTTAATGTTCAGCTGCAGTCCTGCTTTAGCACTTTCACTTTCAACAGGAGTAATTTCCTTTCCACCAGCAATATGGTATCATCTGCATATCTTAAATTACTGATGTGTCCACCAATTCTCACTCCTTCCTGCAATCCTAATCCAGCTTTCCTTAAAATAAGTATGTGCAGATTGAGCAGACAGGGAGATAAAAAGCACCTTTCTCTGATTACTTTGCCTATGGGAAACCATTCTCTTTCTCCATATTCTATCCTCGCAGGTGCCCCCAAGCAGTGAGGAGGCAGTGAGTCCCTGGCAGCAAAGAGAGGAAGGAAGCAGAAACGGAGGGAGGGAGGGAGGGAAGGGAAGGGAAAGGAAAGGAAGGAGGAGGGGGAAAGCAGCAAGTGGCAAAGCCGGAACGATTTCCTTGGCAGTGGTGGAACTACAGTGTTTTTGATGCTCATGAAAAACAAGCGTATCCAAGCCAGTGTGTTTCGGATCACATGGAGTGAGTGACAATCAGGACAATTTTAAAGATTAAAGGAATCCCATCTCCATCATCCACTTAATGTTAAGCATAACATCAGCTCAAGAATTCTATAACGTTTTTACTATTTTTCTATCTTTCTATCTAAATTGTTTTAAGAACTATACTGTATACCTACACACATACCGTACATGCAGATTCTTTCTATCTCTTTCCAATGCCTGTACTTACTTTATTATCATTTATTTATTATTGATTTATTCAATTTATATGCTGCCCTGCTAGCCATAGGCTCTCCGGGCAGCTTACATCATGATACAATCCATATATACAACATAATAACAATACATATACAACACAATCAACTCTACAATTACAAGGAGGTCAATGACAATAAAAATCCATAAATAAACTACCAAAATAAATAAGATATGAATAATAAAAGATAAATAAAATGAATATTATAGAAGGGATCCAAACAAAACATAAAATTTAATATCAATATCTAGCATTTATACTAACATTTGAAGTCAGCAGCATTTGATAGTATAAAATATTAAAAACATCATTAACAATCACTTTTAAAGCAGTGTAAACCGTCCTGAGATATTTATATAATAGGATAGCATATAAAAGCTTTAAATAAATAAATCAGCAATTCACTTATTAAAATAACAATGGAACAACATCTTAAGTTGGTACCTAAAAAGGAGTGGGTGCCACCCGGACTTCCAGCGGAATCAAATTCCA